AATATATCGAAGAGAAGCAACCTTAACTGCCAAAAGTTAACTAACTCTTCTCTTCTAGAATCAAGTGCCAAAAATATTCCAAAGAGAAATTACCCTAATAACATAGCCACAGAAAGAAAAAAAAATGATCTTATTGAAGTCATTGACTTTTCTCTTCTAGAATCAACACAATAACAACATTAAGCCTTTATCCCACTACGCGGATGATAACAAACATAAATGGGATGAGAGGTTGGTGGAAGCTTTGTGGGCCTATCGGACCACTTATAGAATCCCGACCCAATCCACTATGTTTGCACAAATGTATGGGTCAAAGGTCGTACTTCCCTTGGAGATACAAATCCCTTCGCTCAGAATTGCAATCCACAATCAAAACAAAACTGAGCGAAATGCAAAACTCCAGCTAGAAAAACTCGAAGGCCTTGAGGAGTGTCGTCTCCAAGCTCAACAAAGTTTAGAATTGTATAAGGTCTGAATGGTTAAAACTCATGATAAGTTAGTGCGACCTAAAACCTTCCAAGTTGGAGACTTAGTCTTGATTCTTCGAAGGCCTATCTTAGCTCACCGAAATATTGATTGGAAGTTTGAATCAACTTGGGAGGGACCCTTCGTTGTAGAAACTATCTACGAAGGAGGCTCGTATCAGCTAGTGGATTGTAAAGGAAATCACCCAATGTTATCTATCAATGGGCGTTTCCTTAAGAAATATTACGCTTGATGTAGCTCAAAATTTCAATTAATGAAATGTTTTTGTGTCTTGAATTAATTAAGATCAAACCTGCTTCCACTGTCCAAGCATTCCCAAAAGATAAAAAATTCTCAATCAATCATATTCAGTCCTCCTCCCTTCTGGTCAGGTAATGCCTTCTCTTAGATTTTGATCCGCTGTGATGGGCATGTTTTGACCCCATCATTCGATCACCCGGTCCTCTGTGTTTGGCATATTTTGACCCCACCATAAGTCCATTCAACCCGATCCTCTGTAATGGGCATGTTTCGACCCCATCATACGATCATCCGATCCTCTGTGTTGGGCATATTTCGACCCCACTATCCACCTGAGCATCCTCATCTCTGCAACTTAACTTATTATTATGCTTAACTGCTTTATACGTAATCAATAGAATACCTTTAAGAGTGATTGGTTTAAAAAGTCATATAAATTATGTGGCTAAATTCTTCCACTTAAATAACTTTAAAAAAAGTCCTTCAAAAAAAAAATGGTGCATTTCCTAAAATGTGTCTTTATTGGGAATTCCTTTCGCTTAAAAGGGTATAATTATTATCATCATACTACTAAAAAATTTCGTGTTTCAAAAGATGACATCTTTGATGAAAAGCAACTTTTTTTTTCAATCAAACTCATCTTTAAGGGGAAAACTCTCGATGAAACATTTATCTTTCCTCTTTACATTCCTATAACACAAGCTCCAAAAAATCCAAACCTCTTTTAACAAACCTCTTTAATCATCATCCTTGGTTGGTAACAAATCCTGCCATGTACAAAATACATTCATTTCTCAAAGGTGTATACATACCTCACTACTCATCAATACAAGACATAGCTGGTTTTATCATCTCTACTATAGCTCTTCTTTGTTTTTCCTCTTGCGCCTCCTCTTTGTTTTCCAATGCAGGAGTTCAAGCAGTTCAAGCTACAGGAACAAGTTCCTTCATGGTATCAGAGCCCGAAGCTTAACAACACCGTTGCTTCTCCATGGACAACTCAGCCTCCTCCTCGGCCACTCACCTCCGCATGCCATCTCAAACCCCTATGGAAACCTCGACCGAAAAACAAACTATACCCCCTTAAAGTTTTTGATGTCTAACATAAAAAAACATAGTCCATACCTCACTTCAAACCGATAACTACCCCATTTGGAGGCTATAAATCATCGAGCTCTTCACCGCCAACAAGTTTGACAGCTACCTCAACGGCTCCATCCCATGTCCTCCAAAGCATCTCCTCTCCCCCTCCAGTGAACTCACACCGAATCTAGCCTTTCATACTTGGCACTTACTTGATCAAAACCTTTCTGCTGCCCTCTATTATACAATCTCTTCTTCTATTCTACCTCACATTCTCACCCTCACCACTTGCCATGAAATTTGGACCACTCTCAAAAAATGCCTCCAACCAACCAACCGCTCTTGAAAGATCTTACCTCAACCACTCTCAAAAAATTATCCAACTCAAGAACGAGCTGCAAAATACCTCCATGAAAGATCTTACCATGACTCAATACCTAGCCCACATTAAATCCCTTGTTGACAACCTACCCTATGTCAATCCCACTCTTTTCCACCAACATCCTTTGCCAATCCATGCACAACCCCCTTAACAAAGATTTTCAACAGCTCATGCACCTCTTGCGCTAGATTAAAGGCTCCACAAATCTTGGATTACCAATCGACAAGGGAAATTTACAACTTTATACTTATGCCGACTCCGATTAGGCCTCCAACTCCAGTGACCGAAGATCTATTACTGGATATTGCTCTTCTAGGGGATACTCTACTCTCCTGGTATGTAAAGAAGCAACCCACTGTCACAAAATCCTCCACCGAAGCAGAATATCGAGCACTAGTGTCTGCTTCCTCTGATATTGTATGGCTAAGACGCCTCCTGTCCGACTTTGGTATCACCCTCACCTCTCCAACCAAGCTACATTGCGACAATGTCTCCGCCTTAGCTTTAGCCAACAATCGAGTTTTTCACATCCGGACTAAACACATTGAGATCGACTACCATTTCATCTGGCATTCGCTCCAATAAAGTTACCATTCACCATGTAAGTTCAACAGATCAACCAGCTGACATTCTCACAAAACCTTTTATCTCTAACAAATGTTCCTACTGCTTCGCTCCAAATTAACACTCCTCTCAGCGGATCGTTAGTTTGCGAGGCGGTGATAAGCACTTATAGATAAGCAAGCCTCCTTATTTGTACTGCTTTTATCTTAGCCACTACTTTTTAACAAACCTCTTTAATCATCACCCTTAGCTGGTAACAAATCCTGCCATGTACATAATACACTCATTTCTCAAAGGTGGTGTACACATACCTCACTACTCATCAATACAAGACAGATGGTTTTATCATCTCTACTGTAGCTTTTCTCTGTTTTTCCTCTTGCGCCTCTTTGTTTTTCAATATAGGAGTTCAAACAGTTCAAGCTACAGGAACAAGTTGCCTTCACCTATAACATAAGCTCCAAAAAATTCAGGCACTGTACTGCTTCATGTCTACACAAGAAGGAATAAGTCCCGTCAAAATATTAAATTTTCAAATACCAAATCATATTGCTACTATACGCTAGATACTATGTATCTATTTGACGACTAGTCTTAGTCGAAAGTTCTCTCTCGTTATCCGGAGGGATAATTAACTATAGGGGCTTGCGCCTATAGGAAACCTGAACTCAGATCATAAAGTCCTCATAAAATGAGGGTGAAATCTTTGGGTGATATCCTAATCTGCCTTCTGAAAATTTGCCTCAAAACTTAAACGTTAAAACTCTCCTCGACGACAAAAAAAAAAAAAACGAAAAAAAAAAAAAAAAAAGGATTGCGGAGAGGCCTAGACGTGAATTTTTGGGGCCTACACAAGTAAGACAATCTTTTCAAAGTGCTATCCCTTAGGGCATTCCTTTGAACTTGTCTTAGTGCATCTTGGATCATCTTAATGATTATTTTGTGTATCTATCAAGTCATGATGGTTAGTATCTATGTTAATATCATATCAGATTTGAGTTTGCACTAATATTGAGCATGCCATCATTGAGATGGAGCTAATCTATTTTGATTTTGGATCTATGAAAATTAAATTGATTATCAAACTAGTTTTATTATGACATAATTTTCATTTAATTGCCCGGATCATGACAGATGGCGATGTAAGCACTTGTTCAGCAAATTTAGGACTTGCTGAGAAAAATGACTATGATGTTTAGTTCGGGAAGCGTCAAGATTTTATCAATACATTTGCATGTTTCTAGTAATACTGTTACATTTGTTAAAATGCATCTGTAACAGTTTTACCCATGGAATGTAATTATTAAAATCATTCTGCAATAAAAATTGTGCTTGAATCCTCCATTCATGTTTTGTTGTGATGCATGAAGCTTCCCACTTGATTCCAAATATTGCATGTTCTTTCACTAGTCAATTCCTTCAATTGCTTGAATTAACAAGCATTATTATTATTATTATTTTCAGTTAACAAACATTATTTACTACTTGAAGCTGTCCCAAAATCATTAGCTCTATTTGCGTTAAAAAAGAAAAGTGGAATTACTACTTCAAAAGTTTGCTTTGAAAAAAATGAACTTTTAAAATTATTTCAATTATCAGCTTATAAATCTCCTTTGTAAAAGCAAGTCCAATCAAATGAACTATAAATGCTCATTTTATTTAGATTGACAATCTGTTAGAAAGTTGCAGTACACTGGCCAAGATCTAAGTGTAAATGGGTGGAGAAAGTTGCAGTATACTAGGATTAGAACTAAGGGTGTAAATGGATGGAGTTTGAGTGAGTCCGAAGTGTTATTTGACTCAACTTATTAAGTAGACTAGCCAAAATATTTTGTTGACTCGACTTAGTAGCCTAGCCAAAATATTTTATTTTTGTTCCTTTTTAATTTATCAAACATAGCATAAGCTCACAATAAATTATAAAATGTAGTAATGTACATGTCAAGTCCTGTGTATGTGCATATCTTTATAAAATATTCCCCTGCCTCATTTTTAAAATTAAGGTAATTAACAAATTGAATACAATCAAATAAGATCTTGTAATGTTTAGCTCATTAAATATAGGAGCTTATAAAAATGAATTGAGCTCCAGCTAATTCATGAACCACAATCTAACATGAACCATAAGTTTTTTTGACAACCCCAGTTAGAAACCAGCAACCAATAAAGGAATTATGTCTTGATGCACAGTTTTGCATGAAAAATTACACTGAATTCATAGCATAAAATGATGTTAAAGGCCATCTGAACATAAAATAGTTGAGAACTTAATATCATATACTTAAATAATCAACGACTATTAACAAATATCCTTAAACACTTGCAAGGAATCTAGATAATCACATCCAGATCAACAATCTTATATGTACACAGAACTGAGTAGAGCTAGGCAAATAACACCCATTATTTACCATAACAAAACTACTAACTTAAGAAGGGCTGGAGGGATTTGGAAGTCCCAGTTGAAGATTCAATCCCTTAGAATTGGTTCTCGTATCTAAAATTGGCTTCATAATCACAGGCCAGCTGACCTTGTAGTTATTTGGCTGCACCATACCAAACAAGCATGAACTCTGCTGAGCTTGAGATGAGCTCGCGGCCGCCTTGGATGATGTAAAAATCCCTGTTTTGATGTTTTCTTCAGACTCAAATAGATTTGACTCAGATCGGGATGGTTCATAAAACCATGGTACAACACAGTTGTACTCTGAGCCATGGGTCTTAATAAGGGGCTGAAGGTAGCAGTTGATACTGGCCTTCCTTGCCTCTAACTCTAGCCTCTTCTTCATTCTCTCCTTCTTATGAGCATTCTGATGGCCTCCTAATGCCTGTGAGTTTGGGAATTCCTTAAGGCAGAACTGGCATCCAAACTTCCTTTCCTCACCAGATTCTCGGCCTCGATCTCGATCCTGACTCTCACATGTCTTTCCATGGTTTTCATCTACAAAATCTTGCTTATCTGGTTCCAACTCAAATCCAAAGAGCCTGAATCGCTTATCTTCCCCTTTATCTTTGCTGTGATTAGCTTCTGTAGAAGTAGAGTTGAGATCCTTCTCCATGTCTAAGAGCTTGGAAGACTGCTATTTCTCATATGATTTGTGAACTGATGTTTTGGGTGCATATAACCAGTACTTATAATGCATTCACATCTGGCAGAGAAAGACATTATTGATAAAAAAAAGCATTAAATTTCAGGAAAGGAGCAAAGATAATCATACCTATCAGATCAACAAACTGTAGTCCTCATGCAGCAAACTTTTACATATCATATAAAAAAGAATAACCACCAAAGGCTACATGAAATGCTTTTCATCTATAAGGTATTAAGATAATATTATAACTTTACAGTGATTAATACATTTGATATTTAGTATATTTACCATCTGGAGGATTGGCATCATAGAAGATCTGTGCAATCTTTGAATGCCAAAAAGTAGGAAAGCATCTCCTCTCACAAGAAAAAAAGCAAATGATATGACATTTTTTTCATTTTTTTAGCAAACTCTTAAGAATTGGAAAATTTATTCTGTGCGGATACCGGACGCCATCCGGAGCGAATCAGAGCACGTCATGTCGCCTTTTTGCTGTGTCCCGCAACTGTGTACTCGCACTGTATCAGGTGACGTGGCGCGTTCTGATTCGTCTCCGGACAGTCTTATGTCCGCACAGAATAATTTCTCTAAGAATTGAGCTTCATTGAACCATAAAACACCTGTTTTTGAAGCATTGTATAGGAAGCTGACACGTTAGTCACACATTAACTTAAAAGACTGCAAAAGATAGTTGATGGAACTGTGCTTCCTCATGAAGGATTCCTGACAAGTATCTTACTCAAAAGAAAACTAGGTATGCTGATTGGATAACAGTACAATCGAAGCTGAGTTTACATAGGAAAAAAACTAGTTATGGAAACAGTAGAATATTAGAAGTGGGAGATGAGGTAAGCAGAAACACAATAATGATCATATCAGAACATATCTTCTTTTAAAAACCAAGAGCATCAGGTCACAGGTGAAACAAGTCATCAGCCTCAATCATTTTAGATAAACAAGCCAAGGAACTTGCTAGAGAGAGTTGTTTAGTTGGGACCCACATCATAAAGCAACCAAGAGTTTTTATTATTATTATTATTATTTAATATTGATGAATTCTATTCTATTGCCACATTACAAAAAATCTCTACTTTAATCATAAACTTTGGGAACAGGGTGGGCATCAGTCATCAAAGGGCTCTTGAGTCTACAACTCCTACCTATAATATCTTTAATTAATACTGCTTTCATGTGCAGTTCCCACCAAAACAAGTTTCCTGTTAACAGAAAAGTAATGCTGATTAAGATAGTCAGCAGTTGGCACAAAGCAAAATTTTTAAAAATTAAATCAGGCATATCTTAAGAGAAAGTGGCAGTGAACTGTTGATAGTTGATTCTACAGTGCATCATTGTGGTTGCTTAATGAACAAAAATGTCAGTTAGACCCTTATTCAAAATGGTCATTAGATAAGTATTTTAGCTCACTGAGGGTAGGGTTAGAATATTCAAAGAGTTTTTAGTAGGCATATTATAATGATCAAGCACTTCCTAGAGATGAGCATTTTAGGATAGAGGGTTTTGTATTTTTGATATGATGTTGTACATTGGCATACTTTATTTATTTATTTTTTATTTTTGAGCCAATTAAGACTTCTAACTCAAGATCTTTTAGTTAATAGTCAAAGTTTCCAACCAACAGATCGAAGTGAGATGCATGCATAAACTATGATGATCAATTATCATTGATATTTGGCGTCCGCACGGAATAATTTCTCGTGTGTGGGTAGGAGAGGTATCTTTGCTGGCTTTTGTTGCTTGCTCTACTTGAGCATTTCTTCCTCTTAAATGTAGATTAACATACCAACAATAAATTACAAAGCATTTGGCTTCAATTTACTCTTGCAACTAAATTTTCCTATGCCACTGGGGTTAGCATTTTTGCAAGCTTCTATTGCTTAGACCTGCATGGATATATCTTCCCTTCATCCTATCTATATTAGAATATTGGCATATTGACTGGCTTTTATTGACCTCTTTTTTTTTTCCTTGCTTTGAAGTTGCAAGGATGGCATGTACTGTTGTAATGTGATGCATGAACAACATAGCTTTGTAGTTTTCTCAGTGTTTTGGCTTTGCTTTGTTGTTGCCTCTAGATTCTTCACTTGTAAGGATTCTTTAAAGAAACAATCTTTTCTACTCATGAGGGTTCAAAAGATCACTTTGCCATCAAAATTGAATGCCTTCAAAGAAAAGCAAGAGTTGCATCATAACAACTGTGACATCATTGAGGAGAGTGCTAAGTTAAAAAAGGAGTATGTGATTTATGTTTCCAAAGACTATTTGCATTTATAATTAGATAATTAGTAGCATTTGAACAAGCTAAAGTTTAATTAATTTTCTTCAAAGAATTAATGTTCTAATGATGATAGGTTAGAAGAGCACCTTTGTATGGAACTTGAATGTCTTAGAATTTGTTTGTATGTAAAAGTAATTATTGTTGAAAATATATTAGTTATAACTCTCTCACTCTCTTGCTCTCTCCCTCCCCCAATGAGGGTGAGACTATTTTAAATATGTTTTATTTATTTTTTTTTAGAATTAGATATGAAAATATACTATAAAAGAATAGTTGAAATAAATGAGAATGATAATACATAATTCAAATAAATTTGTTGAAATTAATTTAGATGAGTATAATAATTTATTTTTTTCCTTATTATAAAATTTATTTTTTTTATAACAACTAATATAAAAATAAATAAAGCCTAATGTCAATTTCAAGCTCGAATAATAAAGATTGATAATATTTTTCAAATTAGAAATTTGAACATATTTTCCGTAGATAAATAATCTTGACTCTGCCTCTGCTATTTTATAAATTTTAGCTTTTTTAAAATCACATGACAAATTTATAAATTTTAGCTTTTTTAAAGTCACATGACAAATTTTTATACAACATAGTGTTAATAAAATTAAATTTTACAAAACTTGCTCATTGTAAATATTTATAAAAAGTAATGAATGTTTAGCTTAACAGCTAAATAACAAGGCAATGAAAAATTTATCTCAAATGAACCTTTAAAGAGACATTTAAGAGTTACAAGAAACTGAAGGCAACATCATTAATGATTTTATTATGTTAGGTTCAAAAGACTATCGTCAAAGACTCACCCTCAATGGGGGGGAGAGATGTGCAGTAACTTATTTAGAGGGATCACTACATATCGTACTATTTATATAATTTATATATTTAACGCATATCACCTATAAATAACTTTAATATCAAAACATATTACTCCTATATTTCATTTCTACTACTACCCATATCACCTTTAATATTTTATTCGTTGCACTCATATTTGATTTATGAGTAGTGTAAACAAGTCGAGTCGAGCTCGGGCCAAAGGGTCCTCAAGCTTGACTCTCAAGTCAAATACCGAGCTCGAGTCGTGACACTGGAAGCAGTTCGTCGAGCCACTCGATCTTGTTTTCACGCCCTCCAATGGCTATTTTCCGCCCGGTTTCACTGCACTCTGGTGGATAAAAAAGAGTTGTACACAATTCTCCTTGGCCTATTGGTTGAGAGCTTAGGCTTCCAACTAAGAGGTCTAAGGTTCGAGTCTATGTTTATGCGTTGTGTGTGTGTTTTCCTTAAATGGCCTCCAAAAAAAAAAAAGAGTTGTGTTTCTTGATCAACGGACCAGCTGCAGCTTCTATTTTATTTGATTTTTTTTAAAAAAAAAACCAACTACAGTACTGTAGCTGCAGCTTTAACATTTAACATACCTGCTTTTGGGAAAAAAATGCATTGTAGCTGCTACAGCTTTCACGGTTTCCTTTTATGAAAAACTAACTACAATTTTTTTTTAGATTTAAATTTAAGAAAAATACTAATTATTTTATTTTTAAAAAACCTAAAAATAATTTGAGCAAGCTCGCAAGCTCATGAGCTGAGCTACATCTAGCTCAAGCCCGACTCATGAGCTCGATAACCTCAGCTCGCAAGCCCATAAACGAGCCAACTCGTTGCTAGGTCCCAAGTCCTGTATGAGAAAAATGGATGGTTGCATTAGGTAGTCGACAGTCAGCGTATAACTTGTCGAATAATCATGACATGAATCCTTTAAAAATTCGACCCCACGTAGTGCGACAGAGGCTTAATGTAGTTGTTGTTGAAAGTAGAAACAAGTGTCAATACTACATGACAGCATAAGTGGTCAAAGGGCAAGAAGCATTAGAACCTGTAGTTGGCTGGTCACCTCCTTTATTGGCACATCTGTGACATATCTTTCCATGGCTTACTAGCAGACAATTCAAATCAAACTTTAAGTCATTGGGTATCCTCTTGTTAAGATGAAGATAAGCCTTCTCCCTGTCTGCCTTCATGGGAACCCAACCAATGGCTTTTGTAATACGAAATACCTGTAACATATTTGCAGCAATAAGTCATTAATCCATAGTATTAAGGCTTCGTTTGGGACGGCCTTCTTCCTGCTTCTTAAAAAAGTTTTTTAGTTAAAAATTAAAAATTTTATACTAGAAAGCTGCTTCAAGAAGCAGTAAAAAAGCCGTCCCAAATAAAGCCTAAGACAAATATAAAAAAGTAGTATACAATCTGGTAAGATCCACTCACATGGGTATCTACAGGGAAATCTTCTTGCTGAAGATGGAACATCAGAACACAGGCCACCTGTTATTGTTTAATCAGATATTACTAAACAATCATATGGTGGGTCTAAAGATGTCATTAGTACATCACATGCTATGAGAGAAACTCAATGCATTTAAATATCATATTTATGTCTAATCCATGTGACGAAAATTACCTCCCACATCCCGCACATCCCTTAAGACTAAGGCTTCATTTGGGACACCTTTTCTATTGCTTCTTAAAGCAGCTTTCTAGTACAAAAATTTTAATTTTGTTATTAGAAAGCTACTTTAAGAAGCAGTAAAAAAGCCATCCCAAACGATGTCTAAGGGACGGCTTTCTCATTGCTTCTTAAAGCTGTTTTTTAGTATAAAAATTTTATTTGTTGTACTAGAAAGCTGCTTTAAGAAGCATTAAAAAAACTATCTTAAACAAAGCCAAAAACAACAAACCAAGTTTAAATAAAATTTTAGTTCAATAGTAAAGGTTTAAATTTTTCATGTTCAGATTTGTAAATGAATTGACACAATCTAGCTACTGCTGTTCACTTATTTTCTTATCAAGTTTGTGCTGAGATTAAACATTAATCAACTCTTAATCAAGCTTTAATCAATTTAAATAATTGTATACCAATGATTTAAACATATCCCCTAATTATTGAACATAATTGAATTTATAAATTTCCACCAAATTTATCATAATTTGCAAGGTATTTATTTAACTATCAATAAGAAAATCTCTAAATTTAGATACAACAACAAAATCCTATTACATGGGTAACCTATTATCTTTAAATTTAGATATCTGACTTTATTTTATAGTTTTATCATATATAAGCTTCTAATAATATGTACTTAAATAAAAAAAATAAATTTTAATAAAATAATAAACAACAAGTCATCAGATAATCAAGTTAATCATCATTAAATGAGCATTTTATCAAATTCTGAATGTATTATTTGTTAGATAACAAACGAATATATTCACAAACATAAATGAATAAACAAGTCAGCATTCAAATTTATTCATTTATATGATTAGTTTTTAGAATCTTGTGCAAATTTTAATCAATTAAATAAATAAATAAATATAAATGAGACTTAGGCCTCATTTGGGGCGGCTTTCTTCTTGCTTCTTAAAGTAGATTTTTCGTTCCTAAAGTAAAAATTTTGTACTAAAAAACTGCTTCATGAAGAGTTAGAAACGAAGCCTTATTCGAACAAGTATTGAGTTTTTAATCAAATGCATTTGTTCTTTTACAACCCTACTTATGTCAATTTATTGACAAGAAATTACAACATAAAAAAATAAAAAAAAAATTACTGCATGTGAGAAACCGCAACTGTAAGTAAATTAAAAAAAAAAATTGTAAGAATTGGGACTTCTGGAAGACGACAACATATACAATCCAAAAGCAACGCATACAAATCCACAATACCATAAAGATAACCTTTTTCCAGCTCTTACTGTTTTTTTCCATCTGGAAAATTTTTTTGATAAAGGATTATTAAAGAAAGATTCAGAGGAAAAAGAAAAAAAGAAAGCTGTAGAAAAGGATATCTTTCTTCTACTTGAAGAAAAATATGCCACTCAACATCCATTTTTTCAAAACAATTCTGAGGAGCAGAGCTGGAACATGTTCTGTAACTCATTAACTACTAAAATGTTGCAACTCAGTAACTAAGATGTCTGAATCCTGTATGTTTGCTAATGTGTTTGTACAGATGTGAATAGAAGATGATCAGCGATTCAGCAAAGTGCATGAAATAATCTCTAAATTACATCTTGCAAGAACATTAGGGGCAAGCTTTGAATTGAAATTTAAAAGAAGCTGTTTTAGCTAGTATCAAAGAAGGAGAAAATCACTTCTCCACTTGAAAGATAATTCCATAACCTTGAATTTGAAGTCTTATAAACCAATAATCACTTTTCTTGGCATAAGGCTAGTAGACACCTGAAAATTTTCAATTCATAGAATAATCAATATTCAAATAAGCCTTAAAATGTGTCAGTGACTTCCCTTGCTTTGTTCGGAGTAAGCTTCTGCATAAGCACTTTCATAAAGAGGTTTTTTCCTTTCCAATCTCTAGCTTCATTGTGTTATTTGCTTAATTAAACGGCATCCACACTATGCTTAAGATATTTGACCAAGTGTTTGTCCTTTGCTCAATAGCTTAATTACATCCATACAAGCTTTTAATTGCAAACTCATGATTCGTACATCGAAGTTTTATGGGACGATTACTACCCTGAAAAACTTATACCATGTTGATCAAATAATGAGATTTAAAACAATGATGGTATTGCATGTTCTCGACTGCAACCTGATGCCAACTTCTCCCAACAATGCTCAATGATGCGGTTATTAGAAGGCTCTCAAAGTTGAAGACCATAAAAATCATAACCTTTTATGAATTTAAAAATAAATTGTGGCACAGTTTGCCAACTTATACATATAAGGAAAGAGCTCTTAAGCTAGATCCCAGAAGTTCATTTTCTTATTGTCTCAACTCCGTACGAAGGCAATAGCAAGGTCACCTTCGCCTCATCCAAGCGGATTTGCATTGACATAAGCTTTGATCCCACCTCCTAAAACTTCAAGTGTGAATCATTTTTCCCACTAATGCTTTGGGAATTGATGATAATCAATCTTGAGAATGCGTAGCAGTGGAATTTGACATTGGTAGCCAGTTATGCAAAGAAGAGGTTATGTCTAAAATCCTAGTTTTAATGTGCTCAAGAGGCTTGTCTATGAAGCTATGTGAACCAGGGCAAACCAAAGAGCTCCTAAATAGCAAAAGAAAGTCATATGGGTAAAAAATATATGATTTTAAGGTAATGCAAGTATGTTATTATTTGAAGGAGCGTCGTAGTCAATCTGTCTACTTGAAATAAATAACTCAACCCTCTTGATTTAATTCAAAAGGATAGTAAGAGTAGGATTGCCTCATCTTAGCCCTTGGATTTTGTACGAAATACAACATAATTTTTAGCCTGAAGAGTTTGGAGCTATGATGTTGTGAACCAAGGAGAAGAATCACAATCTAACATTTCAATATGACAACAATCAAACATATGATTAATGTAATTGAAATAGAACACAAAATAAAGTTACAAAAAAACTGCCAAGATTGTAGCACAGCTAGCTATTATACCAAACTAATAAGTTCTTAAAATTAAATGTATGATCATCTGATGTAGATAACCTACCAGGTATGTTGGAGTAGATAACTAGTGCCCATTAGTATATGAGAATGTTGAGTAGCTCTAAACAGTAAACGATTCCACAAAAAGATTTCCAATGCAATGTAAAGTCAAATCAATAACTTCTTCCTAACAAAGGAATTGATATGTCGAAATTTACTAGCACAAGTGTTGCTTTGGTTTATGGTTGAAACAAGAACAAATAGTCAAAAGTTAACTAAAACTATCACTAAAGGTAGTTGAAAATGAAATTAGTAGTCTTTGATTAACGCCCTTCCTATAAAATCCATCAGTGGGGATCCTAAGAATGTTACTCCAATGTTCAAGTCAACAAGATAACAAATGATATTGAGGTTCTTGCGAAGAGGATGAAGGTTGACTTCCCTGAGAGAGTGTTATGGTTATTGGATTATGGAAATAGTGCCGAAGGATTCTCCAACTAAGTTGTGGCTTATCTTGTGTGTAAATGATCATTTGAGATCAGAGGCTATCTATTATTTTAAGAACCAATTAATTAGAACAAAAAGAGTTTGATAAGTTATATTATCAAGATCTTCAAGGGATGTAACAAATTATCAAGAAAATGGTATCCATGAACATGATGTTGATTGGTAATTAGCTGTGTGCCCTACATCACTGACGTGGGCTTTAACTAAGGTTTCATTTGGGACGGCTTTCTTTCTGCTTCCTAAAGCAACTTCCTAGTACAAAAATTAAAATTTTTATACTAGGAAGCTGCTTTAAGAAGCAATAAAAAAGTCATCCCAAACGAAGCCTAAGGCTTCTTTTGGGACGGCTTTTTAACTGCTTCTTAAAGCAACTTTTTAGAAAGTTGCTTCTAAAAAGTTGCTTTAAGAAGCAGTTAAAAAGACATCCCAAAGAAGCCTAATTAGCGTATTAGTTCTTTCGTAGGATGAATATCTTCAGTTTGTTGAACTGTCAGTATCTTCGAACTGTGAAAGCCAGAATTTACAGTAAAATAAAAAAGGGAAAGGCTACCGTCTTTGGACCAATCCCCTTGAACTGTGAAAGCTCAGTCTTCACTTCTGCAACCGACAATCCCCTTAAATATTCCAGACAAATCTGCCCCCTTCTCTCCATCAAACCCCTCATAATGTTCTTAATTCGAGCCGCCTTGGTTGTTGCCAAGCCTCCACACCTAATGGCTTTCTCCACGCTCCTTGTCTCCGCACTAAGAACCTTCACGTGATTGAAAAGATCATACCTTAACCTAAAGAAAAACAAAAAGGTTACTTTTTGTATTAGGGTTTTAAGCGGAGCGGAGCCATACCTCTTCCCAAGTGGGGAAAGCGCACTTGAGGGAAGCGAAGGCCCTCCGGGAGTTTGCCTCGGTCGTGTTCTGCGAGAGAAGAATGCTCACAAGTCCGTCGATAACGCTCTCGTCGGAAGAGAGCGGGGGTTTGGCGGCGATCGTCGCCGGTCGGTGATAGCGTTCGAACTCCTTTGGGAAGCCCTGAAAAGAAAGGAGATCGTCGCGCACGGACCGGCATTGCTCCGCAGTGGGGAAGGGAAGGTCCGGGTATGGCTCCGGCGGCTCCATTGCCGCGGCGAGCGATCTTCGTGGTTTTTGGTTCCGTGGCATTCTTTTGAGGAATAGATTAAAGGAGCCGTTTGGCTGGATTGAACTAAATAGGATTTTAGAAAGCCTCATAAATTTGAATTTTTTGTACATTATTTCAAGGAGATAGAATTGACTTTAAAAAAAAAAATTTAAGGAGATAGAATTGATTTAGGGGCTATAGTTGTAATACTTTAGAGTGTAAAGTCATTCAAATATATGAGTTCTAATAATTTTGATACTTGATTGGATGAAAAAAGAATTCAAAGTGAAGAAAATATACTGCAACTCATTCTAGTTTATTTTTGCAGTAAAGCAAACTCGCTCAATTTTGAGTGAGAACGCTTTACACTGCAATCCAGCTCTTTTGACAGCACCAATCGTCACCAACCACCAACATTGGCCACCGCACACACCAGCGACCACCATTGCCGCCCTTCTTCCACCACCCCCTGGCCAACGGCCGCCACCTCCACCCTGACCTCCATCACTCGCTGCCAACTATCATTTTTAAATTTTACACTACATTCATTTTAAAACAATTAATATTATGACTAGATGTAAAACTCTTTAAATTCATCGCTAATAATAATAGAGAAAATAACGCAGAATATAAAAGCTTCATTCCAAATCATAAATTTAACAAAAGCCTTTTTTGAATTAATCTTTCAATGAGAGCCATTCAATTAACATAATCAAATCTTTTCCAAATATGAATTTTGGAGCATAAACTTTTTATAGTGGTGAATTTGTGTGGTATTAAAATTTAATGTGCATAGATAGAGATCTTTTCTATAGAGATCTATTTCATAATAGCAATAGGAAATATTTCAATTCTCTAACATGATCCATTTCATTTTAGCTTTAAACCAATTGTTCAAAATAGAAAATGCCTAAGAGCTCAATCTTTATCATAAGGTAATATTCCCAAATCAATATATATAAGCGCTTTCAAATTGAGATTTTTCTTTTCTTCCAAATAGTCACTTAGGAGGTTGAGCAAGTCTTTTCAATTGAAACTTCATTTGAGATAACTTTCTTACTGTTTTTTAAAACAACTTTCTAATACAAAAATATTTAATTTATAAAATTACTTTAAGATGCAATAAGAAATCTATCCCAAACGAAGCCGAGTCTATTGAACTATTTGAAGACCAACTTAGGCTTCATTTATTTCGGCTTTTTTTGAAACTTTCTAAAGTAACTTTCTAGAACAAAAATTTCTTGTGACTAAAAATATTTTATTGAAAAGCTACTTTAGAAAGCATTAAAAAAGCTACCCAAACGAAGCCTTAGAGTCAAATTTAAGCTTCATTTGGGATAACTTTTGATAACTAATTTCTATTACTTTCAAAAAAAATTATGTTAACAAGTTGTAAACAATAATAAGAAAACTATCCCAAACAAAACCTTAATCAAGACCAAATAACGTTTTTATCCACATAGAACTCTGATCAGGCTCAACCATTCCTGACTAACTCAAGCTAAACAAAATCAAGCCAACTTGTAACCAAATATAGCTCAGCCCAACATCATATCAAATGTCTTCAGGCCAACCTTAGGCCAAGGTTGCCTTGAAATCATATTGTTATCCAACTTAAATCTATACTCATTTCCTTAATGAGTCATTCAAAGTAACCTAATCTATTTGACCTATAACAATTCACAACAACAACAACAAAATGTTTACATAGGAAGCTAGAACACCAAAATTACATGATCAGAATCAGATAATATAAAAGCATCACAACAAAATCATCCTAAGAAATTAGGTAGACAACCAGATTTTATTTTCAATCCAGTAATTAATGACTAGCAACACAACTTAAGAAGCTTCTACAGGATCGAGGTTTCGTTTGGTACAGCTTTCTTAATGCTTCTTAAAGCTGCTTTTTAGTATAATTTTTTTTAATTTTTGTACTAGAAAGCAGCTTTAAGAAGCAATAAGAAAGTCATTTCAAACGAAGCATTAGTCAGCTCACATACCAAGAAAAATCCATCATGTCATCCAGTTAACATCTTTGGGGTAAACTGGCACAGCAAGAACAGAGCAAGTTGAGCTTTTTTTTTTTTCACAGCTATGGTTGATGGCCTTGGCATCATAGACTTGAAGCAAAAAATCCGGGTCTTAGTTTAGCTTTTTAATCATGGAATCACAGACCTACCCAATAGGAACGACCATTAACATTGTGCACAGGTAAAGTAATTGGTGATGTCACACACCACTCATACCAGACCTGCAAAAATATGAAAATCTAACGTTTGAGCGGCGACGATAAAATAAATAGGGGCTGCAAACGAACCAAGCCGAGCCGAGTATGTGAATGTTCATATTTGAGTTCATTTATTATCAGCTTGTTCAAGTTTGGTTTGTGTTTTGATTCGTTTAAATTAATCGGTGTTCATGTTTGGTTCATGTTCGGTTCGTTTAGTTCTTATCGAGCTTTATACAAACAAGTCTTAACGAGCTATATTCATGAACATATTTAGCGATTTTTTTAAAACTATCAAACAAGCACATTCATGAACAAACCGAACCGAACATTAAAATAATTATAATTAAATAATATATAATATCAATTTAATAAATATGTAAAATTTATTTTTAGTTAGCATATATTATAATATTTAATTAGTTTAAAATTTATTAATTAAAATAATAATATCATTATGTTATAATACATTTAAAATATTTATATTATGTTATCAATTTTACAATTAAACATTAATAGAGTTTTATCGAGCTGTTGGCTCAAGAAAATTCCAATCTTTGGTGTGATCCCGGGGGAATTTTCAGAAGGCAGATTAGGTTTTAGATAAGACATTACCCAGAGATTTCGCCCTTATTTTTGTGAGGACTTTTTTGATCCGAGCTCTGGTTTCCTATAGGCGCAAGCCCCTATAGTTGATTATCCCTCCTGATAACAAGAGAGAACTTTCAATTAAGGCTAGTCATTAAAGGGGTCGAATAGGTTATAAACCTATCGTATAATAGCAATAATTTTAGGGTT